TAACACCCTGATCCTCATTCGTATGGTCATAAAACATTTTAACTTATCATTTTGCTTATATATTCAAGTATTAGATGGATCGAGTTTTACATTACAGGTTTATGAAATGTTGTTTAGTAACACATAAAACTCATGTCACGACGAAAACATCATATGTTTGAGTGACTATTTTACCCTTACAAAAATCAGTTTTAACATTAGTCTGATTTTTTCTAGACTTTTTTCCATTGGTGCCGTTGAATTTATAGCATGGCGGATCCCCTAAGGGGCTATGGGGGCCTTGGTCTTCCCGCTATTTTGATATCTTAATATAATATTACGCGTACTACTCCAAGTTTTATAAAAACTTGAAATTCGGCCCTTCACTGTTGGTATTTAGAAAATGAGAATCCAAGTTTTGCTTTGTCTTAAATGGACTTTTCATCCCTACTAGAACAACCAATATAAAATATGAAGAATTATAAAAATATCAGTTATCACTACATAAAATTGATTTTATATGACGCCTATAATGTAGAAGCGTCCTAAAAAATACTTTATAGGACTTAAGTAAATTATTGGACAAAATCAAATGGCGTTCTATCTAAAAGTGTTGCAATAAGTTTATAGGATGTTTTTAGGCGTTTTAACAAAAAAAATTAAGACGCTTTTAAAATAAAGTGTCATATTAACTATTTTATATGACACTATTTGAAAAAAATGTCTTATAAACGCAAATGTGCAAACTTTTTCCTTGTTTACGGGGAACTATTGGTGGATAATGGAGATTAATTAAGAGTGATAATTGTAAATTGTTTCCTTATTAGAGAGATCTCATTACTTGCCATTAATAAGGCTTACTTTTGTTTTGYCATTTTGCTCTTCCGTGCTTTTCTAATTAATGTACCTTATTTTAAAAAAAATATTGATGTAAATAGACCCATCTGATCCTGACCCTTAATCAATGAAATCAACGACTGAAGATGATTTATAAAGTTTATACGAATAGGGAGGTTTGCAAATGATCCCTCCCTTGCATATGTCTACGTTACATACGTAAAATATGATTCAGAGAATGTTTGGTTGTAACGAAATTAATACAGGATTATAGAACAAGATACAATTCGACGTGCTTAAATAAATCTGGATCCCTTTCGACCAATGTTTTTAATATATCCGAAATTTAGTTCAAAAGTCTATATATCAAACACTACATGTTTACATGGCATACTTGGTTCAAAATTTAGTACAAAAGTCTAATTAACTAACGCAACAAATACAAGACAAGTCTCGGGTCCAATCCCTCCCCTCTGGGGACTAGTCTCAACCGCTAAGTGAACTAAAAAAATTCGCTGCATGTTGATGTCCTTAAAGGCAGGTTTCGTATAGGGCTTATTGGAGTTATCGGCAATCAACTCTCTGCCAAGATTAATTAACGCAACAAAAACTATAAAGATAATTAAGAACACAGAGCAATTAACTGGATTTAATTAAGAACCAATTGGTGTTTGGGTTTGTTAAGCCTGCTTGATTAGCAAAAGTATGTGAGGGTTTAGTTTGTCGTATATAAATATTATATTACATAGTTCAAGAAAACAAGACTTTGAATCTTGCAATAGAAGAACACTCAGTTCAAACCAGGCAAGAATCTCGGTGCGACAAGGAGCTCGAGCGGCGTGGCTTTATGATTTACTAATCCATGGCTTTCGGTCATATCAATCTTCTGCTCGTTTGACGGGTTTCGGAACTCAAAACCATGTATYAWGCTGGCTAATATCAACTGCATARCCTSRAGAGCAAGTGAGMTTCCAATGCACATTCTTCTACCACTTCCAAAAGGAATCAACTCGAAATCTTGACCTTTCACATCGATCTCCCTTTCGCTCGTCAAGAATCTCTCGGGTTGGAATTCAAATGGATCGGTCCATATTTCAGGATCGTGTTGAATCTTCCAAATGTTTACCAAAAGCCGAGTCCCTTTAGGAACGGTGTAACCACCTATGATGCAGTCTTCAATGGACTCGTGAGGGACCGAAAGTGGTGCAGCAGGGTAAAGCCGCATGGATTCCTTGATAACGGCTTGAAGATAGACCAAGTTCTTCAAGTTTGACTCTTCAACTTCTCCGTCTCTTCSAACGTGGATCTCGAGCTCGTTTTGAGCTTTCTCTAATACACGAGGGTTGTTGATTAGTAAAGCTAAAACCCACGTTAATGTTGCTGGTATAGTATCAACCGACGCTGCCAAAATCGCCTACGAAAAACAATAAAAACTCATAGCATTCAGAATTGTTAAATTGGTTTTAGAGGACGTCAAACATGTCTAAGTGTCGTAATAGACAGTTTATAGAACCAAATACTTGTCGTAGTAGACAGCCGCATCATGTCAACTTGTAACGTCTTTTCATAGGACGCACAATTGTCTGGTCCTATAAAACAGTCTATTAAGACATGTTAACATATTTGGCGTCCTGTAAAGCTGATTTAGTTGAAGTGTGGTTCACAAAAATACCGGGATTAATAACATAAGGAYTTCAAAAATCATACCAAACACGTAGCTTTCACGATCGTGTTAACGCTAAAGCCRTAAAGATCCTCGTTTAGTTCTTCGTTAACACGGAATAACAATGTAGCCATGAAGACTTGATCTTTACTCTCAGGATCTACCTGYTGTACAGAATCCATGTTGGTTTTGTGCTCTTCTAACCATCCTTCAAGTATGACATCCAACTCTTTCGCGATCTTCCTCATTTTCTTCTCGTACCCTCCTAAATCAAACCACCGTAAGCCCGGAATAGCATCTGATGGCACAAACGCCCCCAATAGTTCTGAAAACATCTTAACGGATTTCTTGAATTGATCCCTATTTCCTTCTCCAGTCGAAAAGCGATTCCCAAATAMCATCCTCAACATCATGTTCAAAGTTAAGTTCGCAAACCATTGTTTCATGTCAACCTTGACCATTTCTCCAGAACCCTTGTTTCTGATCCAAGATTCGTACAAATCTGTTGTGGATAACTTCACTTCCGAGACTCGGATATGTGCTAGCATCTGGCGGCGAAGGTGAGACACCAGTTCACGCACAACGATCTTTCGAATCTGGCGCCAGTACGGTCCATATGAGGCAAGGGCAAAATTAGCATAGTTGTACCCGATGATCTCTGACGCCATGGATTTTGGTCGGCTAGCGAAGGCACTATCGTTGGTGGCTAAGCATTCTTTAGCCATATCTGAATTGCTGACRATTAGAAGTCGATGAACACCAAGTTTGATGGTGAAAATTGGGCCGAATTTGTCCGCCATAGAGCCTAAAAGCTTGTGAGGAACTTGAGAGCCTGCTAAAAGATGGAGGTGACCAATTATCGGCCATGATCCTCCTGCTTCAGGTACTGTACTTCCCTGAGGTTTATACGACCAAACAATTTTAGCTAATAGATGAAAAAGGGTAAGAAAAGCGATGGTAGCTACCAAAGTTATGAATGATAGAAGTAAATCCATGGTCATCTTTTTTGTGCAATGGAGAAAGATGAAAAGATTAATGTTTATCAAGATTTGGATTACACACCAGAAAGATAGTCATAATTGTCCACATCTTGGGTGGCTGTGTTTGCTTTATACTATTCATTTATTTGACCAAGAAATTKTGGATAGATTGAAGGTCAAGATCATGCCACATCAAACTGGAATGGGATGTATTTTATATAGACTATTATGTAGAGGATTCCGTGACAATACAATGTTTTTTTTTTTATCCAATCTGTTGTGTGAACCGATTAATTTCAGAAGGACTATTTATTTTGTAGATAGTCTGGAGTCATCGTATTTGAACCTCTGTGGCCACAAAAGGATCCTTATTCCTCCTTGGATTTAAACCTAGGACCTTCTAGTACTTTTGACCTTTGAAGCCAAACTCAAAACCAATTAAACACTAAGGTTGTTACAATACAATGTTAGAAAGAAGATATGATGATATAATAAATAAATAAAAATTGGTGAATTTTTTAAAGTCSAAATTGGCAATATATTACACATAGATATCTTAACTGAATTATGATATGTTTTTATAAAGATAATAATTAAATATTTTGTTAGAACTAAATGATCCTAATTATATTTTGGATTTTTTTTATTTAAACAAGATGTTTATCTTGTATTTGATTATGTTTATGTGCATTAAAACTTGTTTACTTATATCATATCATCGGAATTCAATTCAATAAGTTATTTTTATTCATTGATTATATAGATTTTGCAAAGCATAATGTCCTAATAATTTGTAATTACAATGTTTTAATAGAAGGAATTATAATATAATATTTGCATTATTTGTTGAATATTTCATCACAAAGATTATGTTATRATATTGAATATAATATTTACTTTATTTATAATTCTTAGTAATAAGTCCTATAACTAATTAAAAACTAAGGGGGTGTTTGGAATTATTTATTTGAAACAACTCATGTTTTTCTACAAAATCACTTATCAACTTATTATAAATTATAAGGGTTTAACTTCTTCAAAAACTCTTTATTACCGGTTTGACACCGGTATAAGTTGTTTATCCAAACACTCAAAAGTGTTTATTACTGTTGTCATACCAAAATAAGTCAATTAGTTATTTTTATAAGTAACCCAAACACCTTCTAAATGTAGAATAAGCTTAAAAATAAGATAAACTATAATACTGACCGAGTATATATAGAATAAGAATCAAATCTACGACTTTACTTTTAATTTCACAACTAAAATGATAATTAAATAAGTTCCTCCCGTAAATAAAATTAATTTAATGTGAAAAATTTAATACAGAGATGATGCTTAAGAATATCAAAATATCAACTTCTACAATAAATTTGGTGTACAAAAATGGTGCTTAAGGTTGGTCTTGTTCTAAACACTTTTAAGGGCTGTTGACTTTTTTTAATTAAGCCATATGTGGGTTAAGTTGTGTGAGAGAYCGGAGACTGATGGGTTTGAGGAAGATAAAGGGAGAGGTTGAATTAGTTCTAGGGCATTTCTGACATCAATTTGTTTGAGGTAGCTTCATGGGGACAAGTGAGGGGTCATRGCTTATTYCATATAGCCATTATTTGCTTCATTGCTTAACATTTAAGCCGTAAAAAAAGCCGCCCAAATTATTAAGCTCATTAAGCGATAAGCAAACAGCCCCYAAGTATACTTGGCCCAGCAGAAAGAACAAGACAACAAGGTCTTGGATTCGAATCCAGTCCTGCTTATTTTATCATATGACACCATGATTTACCTCCTTAAGTCTTTATGCTAGTTGTGAGAGCAGTATAGAGAGGCGCTCTTGAGGATAGCAGAAACCCTTTTTCTACAACATTCAAGTACACTACGGGATCCTTTTAAACATTCAATTAAATTGAMCAAGCTTGGAATGAAATCAGGCGACAAAAGYGCSCCCAACAGTTCTACATACAGCCTAACRACTTCATTAAACTTGTTCTATGTCGAAAAGCATTTCCCAAGTATCATCCTCGCAATAATGCGAACCATTTTTTCATGTCAACCTYTACCATTTCAGAAGACCCTCTATTTCTCATTGAAGTTACATATATTTCAGACAAATTTTTTCCCAAAGAGGGCACTAGGATGCATTTGGTATGTTGAACAAGACTAACAAAAACTTTTTGTCTCACGTTTAATGCAGCATTAACTGCGACAGGCCGGGATTGAGACAAAAAGGCAGGTTTTTTGTCCCACCAAAATAAGTGGAATAAAATCAGGGAAATGAGACAAAGGTAAGTTACTAAACTACCCATGTCAAATTAAAACACTAAAACCTTACAGAATTCTAACAACATCTTACGCCTACTTCACCCTCGATCATCCCAGTCATGTCGTCCCATCCCCATATCAAACGCACCATAAATGTAAACCAAAAGGATTCAAGTAAAAATCTATTATGACAGCATTTTYCAAAATACTTTWTAGTCGAGTCGTGAACCTATGCATAGACAAGGACCATTTAAAGGTAAGAAAACCAGCAAATATTTGACAATGTATACTGATCCAAACAAGAAGACATGATACAGTATCAAGGATAAGTTTAACCAGACTTTAAATCTAAGGTTGTATAGTACTGTCTTCGATAGTTACCTGAGTATGGTCTTCAGTTAGCACCATTCTCCATCATCTTTCTTGCACAAGTGACCTATAACAAACATCAAATTGACCTAATGGTCTAAAATGGGAATGAACTGTCTGAKATTAAAAGGCAGCCCAATTAGTATATTGAATGAGGAATTCAGAAAAATGATTCATTTATATTGTTTACCATCTTCGGCAAYTGAGACTCCCTTCACTAGAATAGTAACAACATTATAGATCTCTCAAACATCAATGACATCCTGTAAATAATAACACACATTAAAGAAACTTACTGACACAMTCACTGAAGCAAGAGAGCAATTTATGACGTTTTTGACTTTGGGACAGCTTAAGCAGTAACTGAGAAACAAAATGGTCAAATTGGTTTGTCGAAATCTATAGCCTACCTTGTCTTGAAATCAAACTCCCTTCTGAAAAGTTCGGATATCCACAGTCAGTCCAGGAGATTCYGTATAGWGTAATAAGGCCAAACACGCACACACTGTTATTGATGACAAGAGCACTATAAAAGATAAGATTATAGTATAAGAAGCAGGAACAATGATACAAATATCTTCTCATATTCCTGGTTTAGGACCTACATCAAACTGTWAGCAGTTAGACGAGAGAGCCATTAGAGTTTGATAAACTAGAAAAGGTGGCCTTATTTGCAAAATACTCCAACTACTTGGCTCATGCTTACAGAAGGAGTTGTAGAATTGGCTATCGCTTGTCCCTAGTTTATTGACAGTTAAAGATATCAGCAGTTTAATAATTTCGATATACTCACACCCTAGCCTTCCAAATCATCAACCAATATCGCTATATATATAACCCAAATTGCTGCTGGACCATCTAGTGTCTGAATCAATCCATCACGATAAGCAGCATCACTGAACAAATCTCACATCAATGCTGATTAGAAAAGAAAATTAGTAATACTAAAACAAATTCCAACCTCTGTTTACAACAACCACCTTAAACCACTCAAACAGAACTAGAAACACATGTCGATAAAAAAACAGTAAAACAGAGATATAATATTCATTGGATAATAATATCAGGTACAGAATCAATGATCTTACCTTACTAACCAGTGCCAAAGAGATAATGTTTATAAAGAGAACAAGGAGAACCACAAACTAAAACTATAGTTCTCATAAGATAAAAATTACAAGTACCTTAAATACTCTAGTATTTCGTCCTTTTTAGGTTTCTATCTATGTCAAACAACTACTAGAAACTAGGAAGAACCATAAACAGGACTACTCAAAATCAACCAACTATAAGCCTATGCGCAATTGATATTGGAAATAGCAACCATCTCACATAAATTCTAAGGAACCATAATATAAACAGAGCAACAATGGCAGCCAAAAGTAGCAGAAGGGACCATATGAATAATTACCAGTCATAATACGAGTTCCAATACATTGTAAAAAACCATTACCTTCAGCTACGTCAATTCAAAACTTACAGAACATAATCATAAGGATTTAACATTACAATCCGAAAATGACATACAATGATCATACTCAAGAAATCATGTAATGTGACATAAACTCATCTTCCATATTCTAATTTACAAAATCGCCATGATTGCAGACGAAATAACTCGCATAGGACCCATCAGAAGGTAATGTATAAACATTTAACATTTATAATTACCCACGAGCTTTAAGCTCCGCAAGACGCCGGGATAAATCATCCTCATCAACCTTTTCCGCATTCTTCAGTGGCACAGCATGCCCAGCGGCCTGAGGTAACCCGACCGACACCTCAAGCCCGTAATCATCTGCCACTTGGTGCATCAAACTATTAACCTCCCCTTCGGGAGTCGAAAGGGAAGTACTGCCAGCCATTGAACTCTCCATAAACTCAGCCTGCACCTCCATATTCACAAACTGTTTCTCAAACTGATCCATCGTTTCCGACATCTTCTGTAAATTCCCTGTAGCTAGCGTTGACTCCAAGGACTTGACGATCCCCGACATAGATTTACTGATGGTGGTCATCTTCGCCTGAGTGTCGAGCCTGGCGACAACAGCATCCAAGCGAGAGGATAATCGGAGGTAATTCATTTGCTCATTGCGTTTACGGATGGCGTTTTCAGCGTAAATCCGTGCTCCATCCATGTTTCCCTTTTCAATTGCCTTCTTGACTTTGAGTTTTTCGGATTTCTCGTCTTTTTCGCATTTTCTTGCTTGGCGTTGGAGGCTCTTGGCCGTGAACTTGAGCTCCATGATTTGGTTCATAAGTTTCTCGGCGTTCCGGCTCCCCATTTCTGCAGTTTCTAGGGTTTTGAAGAAGGGAAGAGATCTTGGAGAAAGAGAAGTGTGGTTTTTCTTTKCCTTTCTGGCTCTCTAATTGCCAACGCCAAGTAATATTGATATGTTTTTTTATTTATTAAATTATAAATTTAACATTACATTCGACAATCGGTTCCTATTAAATTAAGATTGATATATCTTTTATTCCATCAACTAAATATATCTAAATAGACTAAAATTATAATAAACATTAAAAAAAATATTTTTTTTTATGT